AGCTGAAATAACCAGTTTTTCCAAGGGCTTTCACAGCTAGAATGCAATGGTTTCTGTGACAAAACTCAAGATACAAAGTACATAAGCATGTATCCAACCTGACAAACACCAGCACTCCCAATAGTCAGAGCTTTCCACAGAACAGCCTGAAACAGACGCTGATTTCTTAAAAAATTAACATTTCATTTTTTAGACAAAAAAAAAAAAAAAAAAAGATTGTAATATTGTAATTGTAATATGTGCACTCACTGCACATCACTATCCTGGTGCTTCTGCTGATGGCTAGGTAGTAAAGTCTATTTTCTTCCTCACAAAGGAGAATGTCAGCTCTCTAAGCTCAGAGCCTTGCATGGTGTTCTATGCATTTACTGTCATTGTGTTCTAAAGCCATAGCATCTCAAGTTATTTACTTAACGTACAGAGCAAGCATTACATCCGCTAGCCCCAAGCTCTCCAATTTTACACCTAACCAGCATGCATCAACCCAAAGCCAGAAGCACTGCCAGCAATAATGCCCATTCTATTTCAGGCATCATAGAAATCTCTCTCATTTGCTTCCAAATTAACTGCAAGAAGTGTAAATAAGATCACAAGTTGCTGCATACAGCATTATAGCTAGAGTTACTTCACCCAGCAACAAAACAGCTGTCAGATAGAGAAAGCACTTGATCATAACAACTGCAGACATTGCACCTGCTGGCTCATAAGGAAGAACTTACTCTGTTGACAGTTGCCTGCAGTTTCTGTGGATCTCCAAGGTGCAAAGGTTTTTCCTTGATATTTACATAGAAAGGAAGCACAGGAATTGCACTAGAAAGAACTTCAGCAGCAGTGCACAAGTGGTAAGATCACAAAGTCTGTTAACACAGGCATAAGCCACCTTCATGACTTCAGTCACAAAATGAACTGCTTAAAGAGCTCCACTTCTGCTAGCACATATCTTGCCCAGAACACTGAAGACATGAACCCTCTTTCAGTCCCTCTGAAATTCAGGTAAAACACAGGGAAAAGAAAACCACCACAAAGTTCATAGGATTGTGCACTTACCAGAGGTGCTCCATCATAGGCAAATATTTAAGTCAGAGCTACTTATAGTATTTGTACAGTCTGTAGACCCTTTTACTTTTTCTATCAGTTACATTCACTGCCCTCCCATTTCCTATAAAAAATTTACGATTACATGCTGGGGAAAAAAAAAGAAAAGAAAAAAAAAGAAAAGACAACATACTCCACAGCAAGCAATATCTTGACTGTTCTCCCTTTTATAAGCTGCTCCTTTCCAAAGTGCTTTTCATTTCAGCTGTCATGAGCCCTGCTAGGCAGGATCACAGACACAAAGTTACGCATACGTCAAGTTTTAACAGGACAATCCATGACACCCTTCAGGAACCGTTTGAAATTACAAGCGAGAGAAACATTTACTTTGGTTTTTCTTAACTTTTGATCGGACTTCATCTTCAAAACACCTACCCCGTATTAGATCTCTAGTGTTCTCCTGCCAGCATCGGATATCAAAAGCAGTAAGAAAAACAGAACAACTCCAGGCAGTAAGATCACGTTTGTTTTCTTAAATATAGCTATAAAAGTTTCTCAGAGTTGAAACATTTTCATACTGCACACTCTCAATCCAAAATATGTAACTCAGATGTGAGCACAAGCACCACCACCTCTCCCTATACTTTACACAATCATCTGAATTCAATGGAAAGGTGAGCAGCTACTTCAACAAAATCATCTCTTTGAGCCTGCTTTCCCAAAAAATTTCAATACCCCCAGACTCTCTCAATGCTTTTCATTCCTGAGTGCATTCAACTTAGAGCAATGACAGGAGCAGCAGTGGTAGAAGTAGAAGCAGTCACTGCAGCAGCTGCTGCATCAGGCAGCCACCAGGGATGACTCCAATGTCCTAATTCATTGACCTGTTCAAAATAAGATGTAAAGACGTGGCTAGCCAGGAAGCAAGACCATTCTTCAATTCCAACAAGATCCAAGAATGTGATGGGTGAAGGCTAGGTCCTTTCCCCACTGTTATCCACTTCCCCAGTAAATGGAACAGCCCTCTTATCCTAAGAGGCTTGGTACCCAGGCTCCTAATGCAGCCTGGTGCATTTTCCTGCCATCATAATCTTCAGCCCTCAAAGAAAAGCTTTTGCTCTTGGCATATTTCAGCCAGAAAATATTTCTTATTTCAGTCTTGAGAAAAGAAGACTGAGAGGGGATCTTATTAATGTTTATAAATATCTTAAATGTGGGAGACAAAGGGATACAGCCAACCTCCTTTCAGTGATCTGTGAGGAAATGGCCATAAAGTGGCACATAGAAAGTTCTGCAACAATATGCATAAGAACTTCTTTACAGTAAAGGTGACAGAACACTGGTACAGGCTGCCCAGGAAGGTCGTGGAGTCTCTTTTCATGAACAAATTCAAGACCTGTGTGGACACATACCTGTGCAGCCTGCTGCAGGGAGCCTGCTTTGGAAGGGGCTTGGACTCAGTGATTTCTGGAGGTCCCCTTCCAAAACCTACAATTCTGTGATTCTGATATTCTTCACACATTGCATACGTACTCCAATGTATAGCACTGGTCAACCCTCAAGCAAACTGCATCTCATTCCTATCTTATAGCTTAGGAAAAGGAGGTTTCAACCAATTTTATATTTTGTGCTGCCTGGAAAGCTCCATAGATGCCATCTCTAAGCATCACCAGTGACTGAAAGAGTTGGGAATAGAAGCAAAGTGAGCACTGACATGATCCTGTCTTCTCTAGCTTCAGCACTTCAAGCTTTAAATAACTAATTTGCCACGTTGCTTTCCCTGTACCTTTTTAATAGAACACTTATTTTATTTGATTGACTTAAAAATAAAGCACAAACTTTAGTTTCCCCAGCAACCATGAGACACTAGTTACAGATCACGGAAGGATCAATCCCCTGATGCTACCACTTCTCCTCAGCTGCTTTCCACTCTTCCAAACAGACAGATCATCCTTACACAAGCCAGCATCAGCTTGTTTTACTCCGACAGCCCTGCATTCTCAGCAACCTGCTAATCAGCAACAACAAAAAAGGCTCAAAACAAATGCTGATAAGAGGCACACAACTTCAGATATACTTTCCAAGGCATAGCAGCATTTAGGTAAGAAATAGGAAAGGTAACTTCTCAAAAAGCTTGATTCTTAAACGTTGTTACCCTGCACTGATCAACAACTTAAAAAACTTCAAATTGATTTGTTTTAAAATCAGACTGAATTATCTGTGAGCAGGTCCATGAAAAAGGTTCAGATCCAATTCTCACACCACACAGAACTCTCCTCCTCTCCAATCTCTTCCCCATTTTATGAGCTAAAAAAAAAAAACTAGGCACAAACATTTATGATGCATTACAGCTGTTTATTAAAAACATAATTATTTCCACCACACACAACCCATATCTTTAGACTTTAAATTATGCATCTCACATTACATTACATCTTACTCAGGCAAAAACTACAGCAGACGGAAAGAAATACATACTGAAGTAAGTTACTTGAAAACTATGGAGCTTCTTAGACTGAAATGCTCACAGATGATAAAAGGGGGAAAAATAGGAAGTCAGAACACACATGAATTCCCTCCAACCACAACATAACTCCACTCACACACTGCCATATTTTTTGTTAGGCCATTCAAAACAACCGCAAGCTTTCCCACTCTGGTCAAGGCAAAAGAAGAATTCAGCAGAAATAATGGGCTTAGCAAGAATAATCAGCAGTTTACCCCACATGCAATAAAACAGAAGCTGAAAGGCAGCTTTTCTCTATTTTGGCCTCAAGCTGGATGTAGTACTCAGCCAACAGGCTGAGATTTCTGCTATGCAGTGCAAGCCAACAGCTTATCCAAGGCCATAAGGCTGTTTACAAATACCTTCCTCATGCATATTTTTGTTATCCCACTCTATAAGAACAAGCAATCAAACAGAAGAAAAACCAACACCTTCAGCTGTTAAGCAAAATGAAAAACTAACACTGCATAGCAGGAATAACATCTTTTCAGTAAGGGTGACAGAGCACTGGAAAAGGCTGCTGAGAGAGGTTGTGGCATCTTCTACAGAGTTATTCAAGACCCATCTGGGTGTCTACCTATACAAACTATTGAACTTGCTTCAGCAAAGGGATTGGACTCAATCTCTCGAGGTTCCTTCTTTGCAATTTTGTGACTCATATACATTTCTTTCCATATGCTTGGAAGCTGCCTCTCTTATTCCACCCATGAGCTGCACAGACACTGAGATGGCGCCCCTCATACATGTGCAGATGATACTTAACTTGAGTGACCAGAATTTGCACAGCCCAGGACTCAAAGTATTTATAAACTGGGCAACTTTCATCCCACAGTTGGCTCTGAGGCTCGCAGAGAAAGGCCTGAGTCAGGATTCCCTGTCACAACAGGTGCAGGCCATAGGTACACACAGTTTCTGCCTCCATGAGCTTACAATGTAAAGGATCGATAAAATTTTCACTGCTAAACAAACCGAGGAGACAGGGAGCACCCAGTGTGCCACGTATTTCAGAGTGTTGGATGGACGGGAGCAGCTCATAAGAACACCTACTTGCAAACAAAAGAGATCAATAGAAGGAAACACCTTGACACAACCCTAAGTCATTTCTGCGATGTAATCCTGTGCCTGACTCCTCGGGCAAGCACAACAACTGCAAAGAGAACCTTTCTAGCAAGAGCTATTGCGTTACAACTTTAATAACCCCATCCCAGCATCCACCTCCACCAGGACACCAAGTTCAAAACGAGACGATCGACCTCATCCCTACCAGGGGCTGCATGGCAAGCCAACCAGGAGGGCTGTCTTCCCGCATGCCCTCGGAAGGGCCCGAGAGAGGAGAACCGCAAGCGATGCCCCGAGCCGCAAGGAGATCGCAGAACCCCCGCGCTGCGGAGCCGGCCCGCCCGGGTCGGTGCTCGCCGAGCCCTGGCTCCTCGGGGGGCCGCTCCCCGCCTCACCTTACCTTCATGCCGCGTCTCCCCGCGCACCGCCCGCAGGGGATGGAGGGCGGGCGGCCGTCGCAGCCTGCTGCGTCCCCGTCTCCCCCAGCGCTCCGGCTCCTCCCGCCCGATGTAAACACACACGGCGGCGGCTGAGGGTGGGCCGAGGGGGGGCAGCGCCATGGCAACCTCGGCCGGAAGAGGAAGCGCGGGGGTCAGGGGCCGCCATCTTAGCGGGGTCCGGCGGCCGGGCTGCGGTGTTGCGCGGCAGGCGGAGTGCCGAGTGCTGAACTGCCTTACGGCCGCGCGAGCGGAGGGGAAGCTGCCCACCGCGGGGTGGTGCGGGGCGTTCATCGGCAATTCGCCTAGTGCTGTAGAAGGGACAGCCAGCCTTGCGCCTTGGCCGTCAGCTGCACGGCGATAACAGCGCGCAGGTTGTTGTGCTGACAGGTGTGCTGCTTTAAGACCGTCGCCGGGCACAGGCGTACAGCTGGATGCAGGGGTGGTTCTGCCAGCGATCGTTTGATGCGATCAGTGACAGCCAAACAAGGCACAAGGAGGAGGATGATTTGAACAGCTTGTGGAACTGGGACGTAGCGTTAAGCAAATGGTGATGAGTATCATTTGCTCTGATTTCACATAATTGCAGAAGACTGAGTTAACACACAACATAACCTGACAAGTGATTGAACCCAAAGGAGATCTCCTTTTTGTTTTTTTTCCCCTTTACCGAGAAACATCTCAGTTCCTTCTCCAAATAACATGCACTTGACCATTTAAGTCTTCCAAACTGTTCTCCAGTACAGAGGAACCTATTTAGTTAGAAACCAAAATGGAAAAAAAGCACTGGCTTAAAAGCCTTGGCATGCCTGCTCTCGGTGCACAGGAAAAGCAATTGTTTTTTGTTTGTTTTGGTTTTGATTTACTTCGTGCTGTCCTCGTTTCAATGTCTTTTCAGGAGTGATTGCTTTGAACAAGCTCTAATACTTTAGCCTGAATACCCATTAATGGCTGTACCAACTGTGCACCTGAAATAGGATTTTCCAGGTTTGTGTCATCCAGCTGGATTTAATCCATTTCACACAAGCCAAGCCTGCTCTGGTACATGAAGCAAAGCATGTTAATTGGCACCCACTGATCCTAAGCGTCACCTCAAAAAAACATGAGAAAAAGTTACTGTAGATATACCTACAGTTATTTTTTTTATTATTTGCAAGCAGTAGAGTTTATGTCTTTATAGTATAGAAATTACCTTCCCAGCCTTCCTGAAGGACAGAGAAGACAAGGAGGTTTACCTGTCCAGAATTTTCAGTGAAGGCTGAGGACCTGAAACACTGAGTTAATAAAGCATGTTATAAACACGTGTAATAAATATTTTTAAGATGTCAAAACCAGCGGCAAAATATTTTGACCTCCAGATTTGATCACAATACACCCCGAAGTGACTTTTAACAAGAAAATTAAAAGCAGTTTCATAAAGTTACCATTCTTTGCAGAGGGGGGAGTGTGTGAGGTAGAAAGTGATACTTGGGCATAATTTTTGCTGTGTAGACTAGAAGGCACACCTTTCAGGTATAGCACAACATGTCACATGTGCCAACTTTAGGAGATGAGATTTCAGCACTTTCTGTCTATGCTTGTGGCCAGACATGGCTCAGCAATAAACATCTGAACAATGACTGAGATTCCAGGTCTCAGCTTTACAGTGATAGTGCTTTCCCTAAGATGTATCTTAACATACAGAAATAAATAATGATCATTGTACAGCATTCAGGTAAAAAAAAAGCATTAAAAGAGCGGTTGGTTCACGTGCTAAAGGGTTCTAGTAGAAAGGAAATTATTTCCAGGCAACGTAGCTGCTGATTAGCACAACTCCTCCAGACCTCCTGTTCCAGATAAAAAAATCCTTCCTCATAATGATAAAATAAATTGGCCATTAGACTTACTAATCCCAAGAACACCTGGCAAGCAAATCCACAACTTTGCAGAAATGAAAGCAGTAACCTTTGTTCATGCTTTACCTCACTGAAAGACTCACGTACTGAAATAGCTACCCTAAACTTGTTTGTCTTTGTATCTCTCTCCTCACAGCAGCATTTAAGTCTCTTCCCTTGACCCTTACCGCATCCCTAGAAAGTTGGGAGGCACTTGCTGCATCAGGTAGCTGGACTCCAGCAAAGTACGCATAAAATTCCTTCTGAGAATTTAAGTTCAGAGTTATGAAGGTGTAAAAGGTGACTAAATCAAGGCAAGTTGCATACCTGCAGCAGTCAGTTACCTGAACAATACTGTACATCAGAATCTGTATGAAGCATCCAATGCACAAAACATTAATGACAGAGCAGAAAGCATCAGTCAGTCCAGAATGTAGGAGACTGGTAACACCCTAACTCTGAAATTTACATCTTTTAAATACTTGCCCCCGTTTGTTTGAAAACATCAACATATCCTAGTGGTGTAACAAGAAAAACCTAAACAATCTTGTGATTCAGCTGTGTCACTGAAAACTATGATCTGTTAGAAGGAGTGTTCAGAGACCCATAGGTCTCTACCTGCCCATTCCTAAGAGAAGCCTCTGCTGCACAATGTGGGATGCCAAATGCTCACATACTTTTAGAGCAATTCCTCTGTGAACATCTCAGCATTTCCCATTGAATTTCAGCACTAGTTGCAATGTGAAAGAGCAAGAAAGCAAAAGAAAGGTTCTGTGTTGTATGAAATAAAGATAAGCCACGCTTCCCTCTGGAAGGGAGAGAAGCCTTCTAAGAAAGGTAAGGTATTTAAAAAAAAAAAAAAAAAAAAAAAAGTGATAGAATCAAGCATAACCAAATGGGCAGCACATTTTTGAATGCTTTTTTAGGGGATAGTAACAATAGGAAGTGCTTAGAAATAATTTCATTCACAAAGTTTGTTCTTTTTTTTCTTACTAATTATTACCTATTTTGTTCAGAATTTGTAAGTTTTGCCTTTTTAAGTCATTACACTCCTCATGTTTAAAGCAGACTTAAAAATGGATGCTTAGAACAGTACTACTGCACAAATAAATGCAAAAAGCAACATCTGGAATTTAAGAATAAAGAAATGTTTCCCTCCCTGTGACTTTTAGCAACTCTGCTAGAGAGTAGATCTGCTTAATAAAATGCCTCAATTAGAAATAATTTTGTGCACTACTGTACTCATGACTGAAGACTGATGCTCTATCATTACAAGGAAAATGGAGAACATACAGCCCTGAAGATATCCCTGATGTAGCTGCACCTCTTAACTCTTACAAAGAACATAAAAAGTTGACAAGGGTAAGCCAGGTTTAACTTGCTGTTTTCACTATGTGAACTGAAAGGAGAAATAAAGAGCAGGGGCAGAGAGCTATCAATTAAAAACAGTAACATATTTTCCAATGTACAGATAACGAGTTTCAAGAACACATTGCTTTTAACCTCAATGGTATTTTCTTCACAGGTATTGGACAGCTGGAGAGATCTGTCATTTTCACTTTCGGGGCTCACTGTTGCTCTAAACTTTTTGCTTGCAGTCACATCTCACATGCACATGCATGCAGAGACAGCTTAGTAACTCCACTGTGAAGAAAGTTTAGAAGGTACTGGCAATACAGTGTAGTAGAAAACACCTGAGGTAAACATTCAGAACCTGTGGGTCCTGTTTCATGGTCTTTCATCTTGGGTTCAGGTCTGTGCAAGCATCCCTTCCCTATTGATAGGAGAGCAAAACAAAGCCATTGGCAGATTTGTCACTTAACTATTTCTTTTAAATTGTTACTATTAATGACTGGAATAGTAGATTTTCTGAAGAGTTAAATGTGGTGGAAAACTACTTGTTGTTGACCTTGGCTCCCACGGTGTTTTTAATTCCCCTTTTCCCCCCTTCATTCTGTGTTGTTACATTACTAAGAGTCTTGGGCAAGTTAAATAGGAATGTACTGCTCTTACAGAAGAGCCCTAAGCAAGACTATAAAGGTGTTATTTATACAATACTGAAAAATGGCAGTAATAAAAAGAAAACCCTATTAGCCTTCTTTCCAAGCTGAAATTGTCTAGCTATCAAGTAGATATATGACAGGAACTCAGGACACACTGCTGCTTTGGATTACAAATGGCACTTTTGCTTTAATCTGTTATGTTTTTTCTCTTACTTGGAAAGTTCTTATGTAAAAATCAATCTTAGCTGTCTTTAGTAAAGATCCTTCTGGATAAAGGGATAGTGCTAATTACCTTCTAAACCTGTACTTATCAGTCTGCTCATTTAACAGCATGCAAATGTTTGGGTTTTTTTTTTGCATGCTTCTGCAAAATCCTGAACCCCACACAGCAGGCTGCCTTACTCTGACATGTTTGGTTTTTTGTTTCCTGATACATTTGTGGTGGTGTTGTTTTTTAATAAGTATTAAATGAGGGTAGGTGTTTAATGTCTGTGGCAGTGCCTTTCACAAACTGTTACTTGACAAGTAAATAAATATACTGAAGAGACACTGAACTATGACCATCCTGTGGTTGTCCTCAGAACACCAAGGGAGATTTTCCAGTTACACTACAGCACGTAGAATTTTACACTGCTTATATCGTGTGGACAAGGCATTTCTGGCAGATGATGGCACTTTCTAGAGAGATTTTTACAAAATGAGTTTTAAGAGAAAGGGCATGCTATTGGCAACTAAGGATTCTCAGAGCCCATTTCCCTCCTCTCATACACTGTATATCCACAAAAACAGAATATATGTTTGGTAGAAAATGCTACACCTGGAAGGATTAAAAAAAAAAAAAAATAAGGCAAAAATAGTCATTATTGAAACACAGCTATAGTGCTAGCATCTCACACTCATTGTCTAGTGTTGTAGAAGCATTCAGAGAATAAGATCCTTTCATTTCTGGAGTCATGTAAAATCTCTTTTAGTTTTTTCGCTTCAGTTTAAGGTGTATACACATAGAAAATCGCAGATATCCTGTGTTTAATTTTCAAAGTGTTCAAGAATTGTGTTTTGTCTGAAGTTCACATATTTTCACTTCTTTAATCAGAGATTGCCTTCTGTGAGAGTGAAGAAACTATTTCAGTCCAATTTTAAAATGTAATAGAAGTAATCAGTTCAATCATATAATGATGCAAAACTAAACGTATGGTAAGAAAACCTAAAGATTT